TTCTCTGTGATTTTTTTCACTTGTTATTTTCTTTGTAAACTGTCAAACTATTTACACCACATACGTTTAGGATGAGTAAAACACAATCATTGGCTAGTGCTTTGTGTTTCAAGTGACATCATAGCATCACTTCTAATCCTTATGGCTAAGATTAAGTGCAAGTGACTCATAGTTGCTGCATAACTCAACGACATCTACTCCGCCTTTGCTTTTGTTGCAGAAAGTTTCCATCTCAGGCTTCTGTTTGTTGAGCTTTCCCTATCAGTATTTCCCCATGATGCAACATTGACATCAGCAGTACCAGTTGGTTTCTTCGCCATATTCCAGGCCAATGTTATATCTTTCTGAAATCCAAAGATTGTACTATACAAGTCCCTGTTTCAAAATTGCAACATTTCATTTGGAATTTCTGCTTTATTCCTACATATAGTTCCTGCACTGGTCACCTTGTGAACTATTAGCAGATATACTATTGATTGGAAACTAGTAAACTAATTATTGAACATCATTCGTGATTAGTTTGGGAGGTAGGAGCAACAAGTCTTTTCACAATATCATTTTGTTTATTACTAAAGGAATAAGGACTTAATGGCTGTGTTCTAGGATAAATTTATAAATTGAAAGCATAATAAGCCTTCCATCTACAAGGACATACATTTTAATGCCATACTGGAAGGTTTTTATGGGAGTATACTGCTTGAAGCTACAGTGACCATGAAATGCTGCAAGATGTTCATCAATAGTGTGTTCATCATGCATTCATATAGTATGTAAATTGCTTCACAATTACCTACAAACCTCTCCAACAGTGAGCAGATAGCAGCCAGATTATCAGTTCTTTTTCTTTTTTGATGGGTGGTTTTGCCATGAAGCCTCAGGCAATTTGGATGGAAACCAAATGTCCACAGCATCACTGTTATTCTACAAACCTCAAGCCCACACCCGTTGCTTTTCCATAAGCCTTTTACATTCCTGCAACGGCCATGAGAAAGCCCTGCTAAGTACAACAGACTTATGAATGCTTTCAGTTCAGCTAGTGAGGTGTCATAATAAATACCTTTTTGATTGTGGCTATTGGTACATATAGAATGTTTAATTTGTATTTCAGCATCTATGTATTTCAGACATTTTGTAGCATTTTGTCTGTTACAAACAATTTCCAACACTGAGTGGCAATGCTGACATTTAGTCCAATCGGTTTCATCCCTGCCAAGATCCTCACTATATTTTTGGACCTAGTTCTAACATTGGACCATTCCACTTGGGTGTGTGACCATGTTGTATCATTTTGACTACTCAAATATGTACTCACATTGCTGTTTTCTTCATCATCTGAATCAAGGAGGTCTGTATTCCTGTGTCTGTACTGGCCAATTCTTTCCCCATTTCACTGTCACTGGAACTTTGGTTCACATGGCCAATGTCAAAGTCATTACCATCTGCATCATCCATGCATGAACAGTCTGATGATTCACTTTCAACCTCCTCTGAAATCTGCAAATCTGTTTTTTTATGTGCCACTGTACTAAAGTGGGCTACCTCTACCAGAAAAATTGAAATAAACCCACATTCCCTTATGTTAAAGTACACATTTACATAGCAGAAGAATGGCATGGGTATATTTTACCCCTATATTGCTCAATTAAACATATGCAAAACCTTTTAGATGGAGCATAAATGTGGGTAAAAATTCCACTTTGACACTTTTGCACACATGTACACACCTTATTGTTCATCATGCCTTGTGGATGAACACAAAGACTGCTTTCTGTATCTCCCAGGTGCAGCTACTGAGATGCACAGCTGGCTACTATTATGCTTATGTATGAATTTACAGTAGAAAAGTATGGGATTTTTTAACCCATTGTTATATCCTATGGGGAAAATATATTAAATATCTTAAAATAACTAGAAGAAATGATTTTGAATGTTCTTATCACAAAGAAATGACAAACATTTGAGGTGACAGATATACTAGTTACCCTGATTTGATCATTACATGATGTAAATAAATATATGTCAGAACCTCTAATTGTACCCCATAAATATGTGTAATTGTTATGTGTCAAAACCAAACCAAACCGGAATACAGTAGATCTAACCCACAGGCAAGGAGGAAGAATTCAGACAGATCATGGTCCTAGATCTGAGTTGTTTCTACTTTTAGCAAAGAAGTTCTTGTGTCTACCCAGCTGTATTGAATGCTTTCTCTTTGCTAAGGAAGATATGCAATTGTTTGTTGTTTTCAGGAGAAGTTTAAGAGGGAAATTCAAGGAATGTGTGAACTGGGATTTCTGGGGTCTCATCTGTAAGGATCACACTACCGTATCAATGCTGTTGATAGGCACAGACAACCCATATTTTTTTCTCCCCACCTCTCCAAGAGAGAGGCAGTGGGACGTGGCTTTAGGACAGTTGCCAGGCCTCCCAATCGGAGTCAGCAAGGGGTTCTGGGGGAGGGGACAGGTATCTTAACCTCCAGGTGCCAGCCTCCTTAATTTACAGCTGGAGAAGTAGGAAACTAGAGTTTTCCTTCACTGCAGTAATCCAGAGAGATCAACATAAGAGCTGACATTCAGGCCGTGAAGACATGGACCTTCAGAAAGAATAAGGCCAAGAAATGTTTTCACATATTAAAAAATATCTGTAATCCCAGCTACCCTGGAGGCTGAAGCAGGAGGATTCCAAGTGCAAAGTCAGCCTGGCCAATTTAGCATGACCCTGCCTTGAAATAAAAGAATAAGAAGTGGTAAGGGTGTAGTTCAGTGGTAGAGCACTTGCCTAGTATGTGTGAGGCCCTGGGTTTAATCCCTAACATGGCAAAAGAAAAATGAAAGGAAAGAAAGGGTGTTTTGTGGGACAAGCAAAACACACTTTCCAAAGTTTTACTCTGAATTAGTTGCCAACCTTCAAGGAGCTAGAGATCTGATATTAATAAACAGTAAGCTAGAGTTCCAGGTTCCATCAAACCAGAAAACTGGAAAAGCCAGCTGACACCTGTCTGCCCAGCCAGCCCCATCTGGTCCTGTGCTCCCAAGCATGGATGCTTCCTGCCTGGCCCTGCAGCCACAGGGGGCATCCACCAGGGCATAGGCCAATGCCTCTGCACCTAACTTCTGCCCCGGGAGCTCTGCAATAATACCAGAGAATCACATGCTGTTCTTTTCAAGACACTTGTACTTAATCATAATCTGTTTTTTATTAAAAAGGAACTAGGTTGTAAAAATCTGAAAACCACACTCTAGGATACATAATCAAGACTTGGGGCCAATTCAAATATCAAGCTTTGCTCTGAGGTCAGGGACGGTAATGTGATATGTAAAATTAAAATGGCCATGTCTGCCCATAGGGTTTTAGTTTTTATCCATAGATTATGTAATTTACAGTCAATCGAGTAGTCTGTTTTCAGTCAGTTTCTAATCTAATTTGATTACCGCTTCTCTGAGCATGTATGTATGTATTTGAAACATGGTCTCTTATGTACTTTGAGCTGGCCTCAGACCTGCAGCGATCCTGCTGTCTGAGTGCTGGGTCATGTGTCACCACACTTGGTTGCTTCTGTGAGATTTTTAGTGAACGTTTTCATTCTGTACTTCCTTCCTTTCTTCCCTGCTTTCATGAAGCCAACCTGCAAATGGCCAGGTTAACAGAAAACTGCTTAGCGGGAGCGGGAACTGGCAGAGGAGCACAGACCTCAGCCTCTTAAACTAGAGTTAGATACTACTTTGCTAAATAGGTAGGGCAGTGCTGTGCCCGCTTTATGGATGTGGGCACTGAGATGTGGGAACCGTAATCCGTCCACACAGACCCCTCCAGGGAAGCTGAGGGTTTTGGTGGCCGTCAGCCTGCACACTGGGACCAGAGGCGAGACACTGACACCAAGAATCCAAGTCGCAGAGACCGCAGCGGTCCGGCTGTGGATTGGACAAGAGCAGAGCCGTCCCTCCATCAGGCGCTTGGGCCTGACCCCGAGGCACTAGAAACTGACCTTGACACTGACCTCCACACTGTTAACCAATCCTTGCAATTCCCGAGGAAAACCAAGGTTTCTGTTTTGTTTTGTTTTCCTTTCTGCCATTACTGGGGACTGAATACCCAGATCTTCGCACCGACTTCTGTATGGAGCCTCTTTTTTACTTTCTATTTTGAGTCAGAGTCTCACTGAGTTGCTAAACTGTCCAGGCTGGGCTCAAAGTGCTGGGAGCTCGTGCACCACCCGGCCGGGTCCCAAACCATGGTTTTTACAGAACTGTATAAATCACAGAGAGCTCGCACGTGCCGGCTTTGCGAAGCTGGAAGCCTTGTCCTGAACTAAATCTGAAAGCAAGGTCGAACTTGAAAGATTCCCTCTCTCTGCAATCCACAGCAAGGAACAAACCACGCCCCCCACATCAGACCTCGGGGACAAAGTCGGGATTAAGATCTTTTCTTTTTTCTGTCGGATTTCCCAAAAATGCTCTGTAAGAACAAACACAGCGCGCTAGGGTGGGAAGGGAAGGCGCGAGTCGGGGCGTGGGGACAGCGTGAAGGCCGCGGGGAGCCGAGGTCCCCAGGAAGCCTGGACCGAGCCGCGGTTCTGCCCACCCCGGCGCGGCCACACCTGGTCCCTGCAGGGCGGATCGCGGCAGTCACCGCTGCGCACAGAGGCCCCCGCGGGCGGAAAACACGAGAGCCTCACCTCATTGTTTTAAGCCTGGCATAAACCACCGCCTCGCCCCTTTCTCAAAAAACAAACAAAAGGAGCCGCGAGGTTGGGGGCTGGGCAGAGATGTCTGCACCGGCGCCTAGGCCCAAGGTCTTTGTGCACTCGTCCCCAAAACACAGGACCGTCCCCAAGCCGTGCGCTAAAACCCCGCAGCCTCCGGGGCCGTCGCGGGGAGGCCACGCGCAGCACCCCGCACCGCACGCCTGCTCTCCCAGGTCGCTGTCCGCGCGTCCCCGCGGCCAGGCCGTACGGAGAGGGGCGCGGCGGCCTGCGCGCCCCGGGTCCCCGTACTCACGTTTCCAGCCGTCCCGGAGCGCGCCTGCGGCCGCGGCCCCTGCAGCTGGAGAGCGGGTCAGCGCCCCGGCCGCCTCGCAGACGGCCAGCCGGAAGCCCCTTCGTTCCCACAGGCCCCCTCGGATCGCTCCCCCGCGCGCCCCCAGCCGCCAGGTTGGATAACCGGGTCCGACCGCGCGCCCCTCCCCCGCCCGGGACCAGTGGAAGGACTCGGGGCCGGCCGGGGAACCGACCCCCCGCTCTCCAGGAACCTCTCCTGTCCCTGTTCACTCCGAGCACAAATCTGACCCTTTCCCGGCGGTGTTCCTGAGATAAAGCGAGAGGCCGGCGCCTTCCCAGTTAGCCTGGCCGGCAGCGCCAACGCGCAGGCTCTCGCGCGGGGACGCTCAGCGCCAGGCCACCCGATCCGGATCCCGCGCGCGCACCCCAGCAGGCCCGCACCCCACCTCGCCCCACAGGCCAGCGAGCGCCTGGCCCCCGGACTCCGCCAGAACCTTACCGTTTCGGGGTGCTCCGCTGCCGCGCCTCGTGGACCTGGATCATTTCCAAAGCGCAGGCTGGCTGCTTCCCCTGAGAGACCTGAACAGTGTCAGGCCCGGAGGAATTAGGGCTCTGCTTTGCAAGTGGAATGGCAAAGCGAAAGCTTCCACCCAAAGTTGTGTTTTATATTAAAAAAAAAATAATAATAACAATAACGTATTTAGCCGAGGGCTGGGCTGCCTGGCAGTCCGGCGGCCACGCCCCACGGCCCTGCGGGTCTGCACCCCAGCGCCCCGCCCCCGGCGCGGCCCTGGGCGGCTCAGCCGGCTGCACCTGCCGCTCCCGGGAGTGGTTTCCGTGGAAACCCTCAGCGTGGCTCTCCCCGCAGAGGCGCCGTCTCCCTGACAACTGCGACGCAGCGCTGGGCAAGCCAGGAACGTCCGTGGGCGCCGGCTTTAAATCATCCACGCGAGGGTTTGGAGGGGGACGCGAAGGCAGTGATATTTGGAGACTCAGGGGAAGCAGCGCCGGCCTGGGTGGGGTCGGTGGGCATCGCAGCCCTCCCCAGGGGAGTTGATACTCCGAATGGATTTCATCATTCTCTCTGGCACCTTTCCCTCGTGTTGCTTAAGACACTATTTAAAAGTTATTTTGCCCTGCCTGAGCACTAACTCGCTCCACGTAGGGGTGAGGAGCGGCTAGCCTTACCTGTGAAATGGGAGGAGGCCTGGGGATAATGTTAACTGTGGGTGACTTCGGGTTCAGGACCTGAGGACTTGCTGCCAACACTGCCTGCGCCCTAGACTATGCGGAACCCATGGTTACACGGGAGAAGGTTTCGGTGGGGAAAGGGGCACCGTGAAGGAGACGATCCATATTGATGACACATTTAAGTGTTCACGCGTACCTTGTCACTCGTGAAGGACGGTTTATACTCATCAAATCACCAAAAGGTACAAAAGTTAACAAAGTTTCAAGTTAACACAGTCCAGGCAAGGCATAAAAAGACTGAGCTCACACACACATGTCCCATACTAGCTTATCCTTATAATAAATTATATATTCCATATCTGAGCTATTAAAAGCTTAAAATTACTGGCCAGTTTGGATTAATGAGATTTTTATATACACATGTAGACATTTGATAATATTAATCTCTGGGTTATGTCCAAAATACATACGTATAAGTGCATCTTTTTAAAAGTCACAAATAAATGCATTTCTGAAGTTTCCTCTGCATCCGATATTTATAAAGCAAGTGACGTGCCCACACTAGAAGGAAACAAGAGTGTGGAAAAGAAAATATCCAGGAGCATCTCTGCATAAAGCAAAAAGATCTTTTGTCAAATCAAGAACCATCAAATGTGTGTTTTGAAAATTCACACACTGTATCCTGACTGTTTTAAAGCACATACTTTTTAAAAAATAACCACACCCACTGGCTTGTTTTACCGGAGCAGAGGATTTGTTGTTAATAATATGAAGACAGCTGAAGCATCAACGCTTATCTGCAGACCAGGATCTTGAAAACAAAAGCACATCTACCCAGCTATAGAACAGCTGGTCACATTTCAGCTAGGAGAAAATGAAAAACATTAAGTAAATCATCTTTGTTTCTAATAAAAGTTAACAGCGAATACTGGAGAAAGCGGAAGGATGAGGGTAAGGTGGCTGAGAGCATGCAGAGCACACGGAGTATGTTGGTGCATGCTTGTAATCTCAGCACTCTTGGAGGCTGAAGCAGGAGGATCATAACTTCTAGCCTAGACTGGGCAATTTAATGACTTAGTGAGACTGTTTCAGAAATACTAAAAGGGGGCTGGAGATAGAGCTCACTGAAAAGGCTAGTACTAGTTCAATGCCCAGTACTGCAAAAGAAACAAAAAGAAACCAAGGAAAGCAGGGGCCAGGGATATAGCTCTATGGCACAAGTGCCCAGTTTGATTCCCAGGACCCCCACCAAACAAAACAACAAAACAAAACAAAACAAACAACTAAGGAGAGCAATTGTCTTAGGGCCTTTCTTTCTCATTGAGACACAATACACAAGACCCATAATGCTTAAAGCAGGAATCAAACTCAGGACCTTGGACTTGCCAGGCAGGCACTGTGCTACTGAGCTATATCTCCAGCCCCAAAGCAGGAAAAGTTTTATTTTAGCTCACAGTTTTTAGAGGTTTCCATCCATAATCGGCTGGCTCTAAGGCAGCATGGTACATGGCAGAGGGACAATAGTTCATGACAGCAGAAGACAGCAAAAGCAAGACAGAGAGAAGCCTCTTTCTGTCCCTTATATCTAGTCTACTGGGATTGGGGTGGTGCCAATCCGATTAGTGTACTGATCCAGCAATCACCCACCCTTAATCCCAGCACCCTTAATCCCAACATTGCACTACGAATCAGTCACACACTCTATATTTAGCCACCTCCACCCCCCCCCAAAAAAAACAACAAAAAACCTTATGATTGTATAAGGCTTTGGGGCACATCTAGACACAAACCATAACAAATCCATAGTGAGCTGACTCTGAGGCAGGGCAGCATGGTGGAGGGGTATCACAGAGGGAGAACAGTTCACGGCCTGGAGGCTGGGAAGCAGAGAGTGATCAAGGGAGGAGGAGGGAGACAGACCCTTCCTGGCCTCCTGTGACCCACCTCCTCTGACTAGGCTTCACCTCTCAAATTACATTTATCTATAAACTAAGCGGTGGACTAACACTGAGGAGTATCATCTCCTCGTGATCCAGTCACCTCTCAAAAGCCCCACCTATGAGTACATGAGGCTTTGGGAGGACATCTAAAGATAAGTCATAACAGCAACCATAAAAAAAAAGTCTATCCAAAGAATAATTAATGGCAAGATATTATATTCAGACTATAATACTAACTGGTAGAATTAAGTGAAATTCAAAACAGCAGACAGTTATAGTCCCACTCTTTCAAAATCATGTATGTGTGTGCATTATGTGGATGACAGTGATGGTTTTGACTTTCCATTTGCTAATTCTTTCCCTCTGTGCTGGGAATTGGACCCAGGCCTCTGGCATGCTAAGCACATGCTGTATCATTGAATGGTATCATAGCCCCTCATTTGCCTATCCATAGCAAATATTGCCAGTGAAGGCTGCATGGTAGTGTGGGTAAGACTGTAGGTTCAGAGTTAGATAGATCTGCCTGTAAGTCCCAGCCACTATTTCCTGGCTGGGTGTATTTCCTCATGTGAAAAGTGAAAATAATAATAGTACCTTGTAGAGGGAATAGAAGGATTAAATGAGATAATGCCTGAGGAAGAATGCATTCTCTAGAGCAAATACGTCAGTGTCAATTTTTAGGCTATTTTTCTAGGATTTTAATGCTAGCTTAGATTTGTTTAAACCGTCAGTGAGATATTATTTTATATATGTAATATTGCTTGTATTTGTCCACATTTTTGGTTTTCTTCTATTTATTTATTTATTTTAGATTGGTATTGACTTTTGGTCCTGGAGTCAAACCCAGAGCGTTTTCATGGAGCTATATCTGCAGGCCTTTTTTTTTTTTTTTAATTTTGAGAGTCTTACTATGTTGCTAAGACCCAGCCAGGGTTTGGACTTGTGACCCTCCTGCCTTGGGCTCCCACAGCACTAGAATTACAGGCACGTACCACCATGCTGGACTCAAACTTCTGATCTTCCTGCCTCAGCCTGCTAGAGTGCTGGAGTTACAGGAATGTGTCTGATTCCAACAATTTTACTTATGGATGATGAAAATGATCCATTATGGTAAAATACGTGTTTTCATAACACAAGAGTGGTGTGGGTGTGTGATGATGAAGGTGATGATGACTTTGACACTGACCATATGAGCCAAAGTTCCTGTGACAGTGAGATGGAGCAAGAATCAACTGATACGGACACAGGTCATGCAGAACTCCTTTGTTCAGATGATGAAGAAAACAGCAATCTGAGTACAGATATGGCTAGTTGAAATGTTGCAAAATGGCCACACAACCAAATGGGATGATGCAATGTTACAATACGGAGGGTTTTGGTAGAGGTAAAATGTATTGTGCAGAATGTCAGCACTGCCATTCAGTGTTGGAAATTGTAAGAGACAAAATGCTACAAGACACTATGAAATATACAAAGAGTGAAACACAAGTAAAATGTTCTGTGTGTGCACCAAAAGCTGTATTCAAAATGGATTTATTATGATATCTCACTAGCTGAACTAAAAGCATTCATAGGTCTGCTGTACTTAGCAGGGATTTCTTATGGCAATTGCAGGAATGTAAAAGACTTATGGAAAAATGATGAGTCAAAATATGACATAAAAATTTATACCTTTGTAATGCAAAGATTTATTATGCTTCCAATTTAGAAATTTATCCTGGAACTTAGCCACCAGGTCCTTATTCCTTTCATAATAAAGTAATGTTGTTAACAGACTTGCCCAATCTCCCAAACTAATCAGAATGTGACATTCAACAATGGTTTTCCAGGTTCCAGCTGATTTTATATTTGCTAACAGAACACAAATTGACCAGTGCAGGAGCTGTACACAGGAACAAAGCAGAAATTCCAAATGAAATGCTTTAATTTCAAAACAGAGAATTGTATAATACAATCTTTGGATTTCAGAAAGATTTACATTGGCCTGGAATATGACAAAGAAAAACCAACTGGTACAGCCGATGTCAACATTGCATCATGAGTAGAACCTAGATAAGGAAAACTTAACAAAGCAGAAGCCCAACATGGTAACTTTCTACAACAAAAACAAAGGCAGAGTAGATGTTGTTGATGAGTTATGTAGCAACTATGGGGTCACTTGAAACACAAAGAGCTGGCCGATGGTTGTGTTTTACTCAATACTAGACATGTGGAATAAATGATT